CCCCCCCCCCCCCCCCGCACACACACAGAGACAGACAGACACGACTTCATCATCCATCCATCCATCCATGTGCTGTCTGTGTGTGTCTGTCATCCAGTTGGTGGGCATGTTGCACCGGGACCCCGAGCTTCGCCCCACAGTGGACGAGGTGCTGAGCCACCCCTCACTCGCAGACCAGTACCACACCCCATCGGAGGACACCATGGGCGGCAAGCCGGCCCCCGAGCTGCTCACACAGGACATCCACACAGAGCTGTTCGGCGACACCGAGACGGAGCAGGGGGCGGGGGAGGGGGTGGGGGCGTCCAGTAGTGCCAGTGGTGCCGCAGCTGCTGCTGCAGGCGGCTCATCCTCGGGTGCGCACGGAAAAAGAGAGAGCGAGAGAGAGGGGGCAGACGGCCAGCTCTCTGACACAGCCCTTGTCCGTGTGTGTTGCCTTCTCCCTGTCTCAGGTTCGGCGCACCTCGCCCCATCGGCTGCCGGCCACCCCCCGCACCACAAGAGCAAGGGCAAGGGCAAGCGCGGCCGCCAGTCGCACCCATCCACATGGATCATGAAGCGAGACCTCGGCAAACTGGAGACGCACGCCACCACCCAGGAGGCCAGCACGTACCGCAAGACGGTCATCCGCGGGATGCGCAAGGGGCCGTTCATCGACGCGCCCATAACGGGCTTCCCGGACAACACCATCACCGTCTGCCTTCCCGACGGCCGCTGCGAGTCGTTCCCCAAGGACAGCGAGGCCAGCGACTTCATCGAGCGGGCGAAGCGCGAGAAGGAGGAGCGGGGCGAGGGGAGTGACATCAAGTACGTGTTGTACTGGACGGGGGAGAAGGAGGGCGAGAAGAAGGAGGAGGGCGGCAGGGGGTCGGGGGCTGGCGGGGGAGGCAGGAAGGGAGGCAAGAAGACGAGCAGGTGAGTGATAAAGGTGATAGCATAGCAGAGGGATGAAGGGAATCAACGGATGAGAGGTAGCTCTCGTAGCTTACTGCATGGACATAGGCTGCCGACTTGCCAGCGGAGAACCAGTTTTGATGGATTGAATGCATGCCAGCACACAGTCGCGCGCGCGTGTCCCTTCCAGCATCGTTTGCAATGAGTCCAATCCGCGAGCGGGATTCCTGCAAGCTCAATATATTCTCAGGACGCAGATCTCTCTCAATAATGTCGTCGTTCATGAGATCTTCGTCCTTAGCGCGTCTGCTGCCCTCCGCAGACCAGCCCGTATCCCCCTCCCGGCTCATCGCGGCCGCCCTCATCTCCATCACCCTCATCGCAGCGTCCGTCATCGCGTTCCTCCGTCCCCCCCTCAGCAGGATGCAGCACATGGGGAACAATGACGGTCCTCCTGTTGCTGCATCGGCGGCCTCTGTGCGCTGGCAGCCGTCTGATGGCAAACCATGGGAGCTGCATCAGCTCAACCCGCCTTTATCTGCTGAGGCTTCCTCTGACAATGACAATGGCAATGGCATCATGCGGGCGTCAAGGTCAAGGAGCAATCTCACGGCAGCAGCATCGTTCGGCAGTGACAGTGGGCACAGTGAGCTCCACAGTGAGCTGATCAGCAAGAAGCAGTGGAAGGGCATGCGGCACGTCCGGCCGCCAGGAGGGTGCTACAGCCCGCCTTACCTGTATGTGACCTTCCACGGCGGGTCGACGGGCGACGAGCACAATGTGGTGCGCTACGCGAGGGACGGGTGCAACCTCGGCACCGTGCTCATGACGGGGCCGCACAAGCTGCGGGAGCTACGGGGGATGATGCTCAGCGACGGACATCTGCTTGTTGCCGAGGCATACCGATACGTACGTAAGCCTCAGACAATCGCACACCAGCTCGTCTGCACTCCACACTGTGTGTGTCGTTTTTCTCTCTCTCTGTCAGGACAGCAAGATTGTCGAGTACGGTCCATGTCAGCCCGAGAGCAAGGGCCAGCGCGAGTACGTCCGTGTGCTGACCCGGCGGTCGGCGCACAACGAGGGTCTGTGGCACCCATACGGCTTCGCCCAGTGGGACGGGTATCTCTACGTGAGCAACCAGAACTCACATGAGGTGGTGCGCTATGACGTGGAGACCGGCCTGCCGGGGCCCGTCGCGCCGGTGCTCAAGGTGAGTGCGGGTCTACGATGGGATGTGGGTGGTGGATGGATGCCATTGTCGTGTTTGTGGCGTGGCTGGCTGAATGGGTGCAGGAATATGAGAGCAAGCTCGACCCGGGGACCTTTGTCAAGTTCAAGGCCAAGAAAGGCACGGCACACAGGAGGGAAAACACACCCACTCACCACTCCCGCGCAGACAGAGACATGCACTTTTTCTCTCTGTGTGCAGGTCGCATCCGTGGTGTGGCGTTTGACAAGTATGGCGTGCTGTACGTGGCCAACAAGGACCTGGGGGTGCTGCTCTACAACCACCAAGGCGCCTTGCTCGGCCGGCTGCCCGTCAAGAAACCCATCAGCGTCTTCTACTGCTTCGACAGGTGTGTTGGGTCTGCTGAGGTGTGTGAGGCGGGCAGGCCATGGGTGGCATACACACAAGGGAGGGCATGTGAGTGTGTTTGTATGTCCCAGGGATTCGGTGTGGATTGGCAGCGTCAAGCGGCACTCCCTCTATGAGTTTTCAGCCCAGACACACCTACTGATACAGGTCACTGAGTGTGGGCGCATGGTGGGGTGGGTGGAGAGATACAAGCAGAAAGGCAAGCCCGGCACGTGCATCGTGTGTGTAGGTGATAAGCGACCCGAGTCTGCGCCACCCGGCCGGCATGGTGTCGTACGGCGATTCTCTCTACGTCATCGGACAAGCCACGGTGAGTCAACAGAATAGGAGCCAGGCGATATCTAGAGCACACCGCCCATCGCATCACAAACGCACTGGACGGCCGTGTGTCATGTGTGTGTGCGTGGCTGTCCACTAGAATCGTCTGTTGGAGTATTCGATATCTAGTGGCAAGTTGCGGCGCACTCTAGTGGACAAGCTGCCCGACGATGGAGAGCGGGTCATCCTGTCGCCATGCTGAGTGAGACAGACAGTGCGCAAGTCTGCATGGATTGTGGGGACGGTGTATGTGAGTGGGCGAGTTAGTGAGTAGACAGACAGATGGAGCATTCGGCCACGCATCTGTGGCCGGCCGAAGTTTTGCGTGTTTCCTTCCGGCTTTGCAATTTTATTGTGAGGGCGGCTGGTGATCGATGTGATTAGATTTGTGTGTGGGGTGGGCGTGTGTGTGTGTGAATGCCGTGTTCGTGTTGCTGCTGGTCTTTATTGGTGCCCATGTGATTGAGATGATCGACCGATGAGATGGTCTGCGTCACCGCAGAGGAAAAGGCTTTGTTCTTGCCGTACGTTGGATGTAGTCAGTCTGTCCAACATGAAACACGCACCCTAACATGCAACCCGGACACGCAACACGCAGCACGCAGAGGGCAGATGCAGCAAACAGGTGGATATGCAATGCGCTTGCGGCAGTCGACAAGGGTTACAGGGTATCAAACCCTGAACCCTCTTCGACTCATCATTTGACGTTCGTCCCTGTCGTGCGGACGTTGCCTGAAGTGAGCTTCACGAACCACCATCACTGTCGGCAACTGCAGCTCATTTCCTTCTTTTTCTTCCTTTTGTTCGTCCCTCTCATAGCCACTGGAGAAGCACCCTTGTGCACACCCCTTTGCTGCGGCGTTTCACCCGCACCAAGATGCCGGCGGCTGGGTGTGTGGGCCCAAGTCTGCATTGCGGTCCGGATGCCCCCTTGTATGATCACAAGGAGCTCTTCTGTGGGGAAGCGTCCAGAATCATGACGTCTGACGAAGGTAAGGTATCAGCCCCCGCAGACCAGCATCATGCAATTGCTTGTGGCTAACTCACTCATTGCAATTTTGTTGTGCCATCCATGTTGATTCAGGGATGTATGGCGAGAACAGTGAGGGCAGTCTGCTCCGCCTGCTCAAGATCCTCAGAACGGAGTTCCAGATGGGCGAGGTGAGCGTCGCAGGGCAGGGCAGGGCAGGGCAGTGGCAATGGTGTGGCGTGACTGACGATACATGGTTGCTTGTGTGTTGGTTGCTATGCTTATCCTGAAGGACTCTGTGCTGCTGGACATCGGCTCTGGGCGCGGCATCCCGAACATCGTTGCAGCCAGCCACTTCAGAATCGCGGCATCGAGTGAGTGAGTGAGTGAATGAAGGAGTGAAGGAGTGAGACGGCACGGCACGGCACGGCACACACATGGATGCCATCCAAGGGAGATTGATCTGTGACCCCTTGTTTGTGTGCGTGTGTTGTGTGTGCACACAGTCGGCGTTGAGGTCGACACCAACAGCTACATGCTTGCGACCAGACACCTGCTGGGCATCCTCCACAAGGCGAAGCGACACCTGGTACGCAGTGACTACCAGTGATTCCCCCCCTGCTATTCCATCTATTGTCTTCTCAGGAGTCCTCTGGAGACGCCACGCCGACCACCACTGGTGTGCCCGCTGCTGCGCGCGTGGCCTTCATGAATCGCGATGCCACTGAGCTGACGTCGCTCGAGCCGGTCTCCCACGTTGTGAGCTTCGACCTGGCAATGCCCCAGTGGATGATCCGCTGCTTTGTGTAGCTATTCAACAGCGCACAGACCGCCATCGTCTACGTGTCATACCGACCGAGTAATTAAGTGCGGTGCACACGCCGCGGCGTCTCTCTCTCTCTCTCTCTCTCTCTCTCTCGTGTGTATGTGGGTGTGGTGTCTGTGTTCATCGGTCAGATCTGGTGTCCAGTTTTGGTTTGTGTGGCGAGCTGGCCCGTCGCTGCCCCATGACGATGCTCGGGTCGGGCGAGCGGCACACGGCATACATCTACATCAAGCCTGACGCTTCGAGCCGGCTGCACCTCACTCATGAAATGCTCGTCGACACCGACACACACGTGTCATCGGGCGGCGGCGATGAGCAGAGGTATGTGACCCAGATGGAGGACGCAGTCGTGACTAATGAATGGCCCACGCCGGGCAATGTGTTTGTGTGTGTGTGTGTGTGTGTCTGTGTTGCAGTGGGCCGGCCCTTTCTCTGATTGCGCTCACACGGATGGCGAGAGCAAGCATCGCTGAGCAGATAGCCCGATGCGAGAACATCCTCAAGGTAGGTGAGGAAGCATCACTCCACATCCATCCATCCATCCCCCGTCCGATGTGGGGCTGGCTGCATCTGTACCTCAGTGCTGGTATTGCAGCCCTCGACCGGTCCGAGCGTGTCGCGGCCCCTCCGCTGCCGCATCAGTGTCACGCAAGAAGAAGCGGACACAGGACGGCGGCTTCAAGCGGTCGATGGACGGGCAGCGACACACAGGCATCAAGCGGCGAAGGGGGTAGTGTAGTGGGGGGCGCTTGGGCCCTAGGGTGAGTCGTGTGGGCGGGGTCTGGTCTTTTGCAAGCAAGTGTTCGGTATGCATCAATCACATCATGTGCATGCCATGTAGTCAGTGTATTCATTGTCTGTTTGGTTGCTTGGTGGTTCGTTCGACGGGTGGGTGGATGGGTGTTAATAAGGAAGGAAGTAGAGTAGAGCAAGCAGGTGGGGTGGGGGTGGGTGGTAAGTGGCGCCCGCGTGCGCCGTAGCTAGCGTGGCAAGGTGTAGCTAATGCATGCATATCTATGTGTACGTTCGTGGATCGGGTGGATCCATGCATTTATCATAACAGCTGGACTCCGGCAGGCAGGCAGTCAAACAGGGAGACATGTTTTAGTTAATGGTGTTTTGCAGATAGATGGATGGATGGATGGATGGCCATTCACTCTGTTGGCTGGAAAGGTTGATGGATGGATGTGCCAGCTTGCTTGCTGATAGATAATTCATTGGGGCCGGTCGGTAAGGTAATCAACCTAGAGGGGAGAAAGGTCCCTCGAGCCGAGCCCGGCCGGCAATACATACCTTGATTCATGTATCAATCAATCAATCACTGCATTCATTGTGGACTGGACCCATGTCATGCCCATGTACTCGTGTCGTGCGCGTCGTATGGGGTTGGGTCGTGGGCTCGTCTCGTCTGCATGGCATGACCGTCTATGAGGGAGACAGACAGACAGATATGCAATGCATGTACCTGTGTGTCTGTTCCCTTCACACGTTGGCCTGTACAGTGTCGGTCACGTCAATCAGTCAGTTTGGCCGAATCAGAAAGTGTGTTGTGTTACCAAAAAGACGACAACGCCGAGAGTCTCATCGATCGTATCGTCATATGGCACATGCACAGCGATCATCCATGACATGTCTGTCACTATGGCCCCCCCTCTCGCATCTCTCAGTGGTGATTGATGGTCAGAATCCCTCTCGCCAAAAGGTAGTAAGGTGCAGAATCCCTCACACACAGGCAGGCAGATGAGACGAGACGAGTGGATAAAGGCAGTACATGCATGTACGCAGAAAGACGCACCGGTGTGTAAGCACACGTCAAGAAGCCATCCATGGCATGGCATGGAGAGCACAGGTCAGCACAGCACAGCACAGCACAGGCAGAGACAAAGAGACACGCACGCAATGCAATCGATCACACGACCCTTTCGCCGAGCCCTGCCATCACCATTGGGCAAAAAACTCTCACACACACACGTAGTCACTCCGAAAATGATCTTTCACCCCCCCAATCATCGTCACTTGGCCGCCTTGACGACCGGCTCTTCCTTCTTCCCTGCCTTCGTCACATTCTTGTCCTTCTCTGTCTTCCGGCCCTCCTCCTTCCCAAATATGGACCTCTGTACGGCGTCCTTCAGCGGCTCCACATCCACATTGATGGACGACGACACACCGGACGGCCGCCTGTCGCCGCCGTCAACAGCGCCGCACTGCTGCAGCAGCGATCTGACATAGGATGCGTCGCCCTTGATGGGCGCGACGCCATGAGCTGGGACGATGCGCGCGAATGGCCATGAGAGGAGCCTCTGGATGAATCCTTTGTTGCGGAGGGGGTAGCTGGTCAGCACTCGGTCGACCAGAAGGCCCGTCTGGTTGTACAGACCTTTCAGCAGAAAGGCACACAGAGAGAGGAGAGAGACGTGTGCCTCTGTGTGTGCGCCAGTGGGATGTGTTGGTTGGTGTGGCTGGGGTGGCTGGGTTACCAAGTATCATGGCGGTGTTTTCGGTGACGACGCTGTCGACGTAGTTTTGTTCAGCGATGTAGGCGTCGTCAACCATGGCGCAGAAATCTGTCACGATCAACGACCTGGCGACCATACATACCATCACCATTGCAATCCACAACGTACACACATCGATCGGAGACGTCGATGGCATCGATGGATGCATCCATTGCTACCCCAATCCTACTTGGATGGCTTGTGGAAGAAAACCACCTCCCTGAAGCTTGCACTGCCGTCCAACACGGCCTGCTCGATGACGCCTTTCCACATCGGTGGTGCCTCCTCTGACAGCAGCTCATCCACACGGTAACTGTCGTCACGCGGCAGCCTCGACGCATACACCTGATGACCACCACACACGCAGTACGTCACGTGCCCGCAGTGGTGCAGCACTGGTGAGTTTGTTCATTACCTTTGCGCCAGGGCATCTGTCGAGGAACTCCTGCACATAGGGCTGGTGCTCTGGCGACGTGTTGGGCACCACTATCGCTTTGACCGTGCCCCTCAAGCTGTTGACCAGCTTGATCAGCTCCCGCGTCGGGGCCACGGGATTGATCACCATCAGGTCTCTCGACGCTGCACAACACACACACACGACACACAGCCATCAAACAACACCCCATGAGTGCCTCCCTCCACTGCTCTCACACACACGTGTATGTATCTTTACAATTCAGTTCGATGACGACAGACCTCAGCCCAAAGCTGACGCCGCCGATGAGCAGCGGCTGCTCGAGAAAGTGCACCCCATCACCCATGGTCCGCAACACGGTCACTCGCTCATAGAATGGCGGGAAAGAGCTGCGGTAGTAGCGTGCTGGGTCTGTCGGGCCGACACGTGCCACAGCGGCCTCGGAAATTGCCGTGAAGGCCTTGTGTGTGGGAGAGAACAGGTAATCGTTGAGGAGCTCGCCCTGCCCTGATGATGTGCATCACGCAACGAGCAAGGAACATACAATACACGCTCGTCGATGAATGACATACATTGATTCCCATTCTGCAGGCCGTACGTTTGATGAGTTGTTTGGTGAAGCTGGTGTCGATATCGTTCTTCTTCAAATACTCATCCAGCCACAAAAAGAACGACTTGCCGGCGCCGAGGAGGCCCTCGTCATACCCCCTGCTGGTCACCTGCTGCCTCACCGCATCGATGGCGCTGACAACTGCCCCGCCAGCCTCCCGCAACTTTCCTCCCGCACCCGTGTTGCGTGTCGCCTCAATGGTTGCCACAGCCGCGAACACCAGGGCAAGCACGGGGGCTTGCTCGCCGCCTGCAATAGAGCCAGCGAGAAGGCCTGCACTGCCGCCTATGGCCGAGGCTGCGTAGAGCTTGCCGCGCATGCTCTCTGTACGTGGCGTGGGCAGGCATGACAATGCATCAAGATGGAGGGAGGGCTCTGGTGGGTGGGTGCATTTCTCACCGGTTGTGTCGGGCGTGAATACGGTCGGGTCAGCAGTCTTGACCCGCCTCAGCTCTATCGTCGCAGGCTTCTCCTCCTGCAACATCCATCAAGCCAAAAGGACGACAAGGAGAAGATGACGACAAAGTAAACTTTCCGCTGGACTCACTCACTCATCACTCACCTGCAGCACTTCGGGCATCCTCTTGCCTGCCGCCTCGGCCACCTCGAACTCAGGCTCAGGCTCCTTGGGCTCCTTGGGCTTGACTTCGTCAAGCACCGCTGTTACTGTAGAGGGGCCGCCTGATGGCGCTGCGCCAAGACGATGCGGCCGGGCGGCATTGCGTGAGTGGCCAGCTGCAGATAGGCTGAAAGAGGGAAGGAATGCAGACCTCGAAATGAGAGATCTCGATGCGTGTTCTGATCTGTATGCAGTGGAAAGGGGTATAGCGAAGAGGAGAAGGGCTGCAGGCGCCATTCTGCTGCCTTCTCTGCAAGCCCAGCTCGCAACGTCCAGCTCGCGATTTTTGTCGGGTGTGCGCTGAGCCTTTTGAAGTAGCCATGCTAGAGCCGCTGTATCCCCTGTGCAGGCGCACCCTTCTTTTCTCCCCATTATCATTGACGCGATGCATCCCTCCCCGCGCCGCCCTCTCGCCTCCCTCGTCCGCGGCATCTGCAGCCCAGATCCCGTCCCCGTTCTTTCCTTCCCTCATGGCTGGTGCGATGTGGCAACAGCAGCTTCTGTTTTCCGACCGCTACCGCAAGTGGATGACGGGTGTGGAGTGGCTGAGGCGCAAGTCGCCCCAGCACGCCAAGTACAGGCGGAAATACACGGCCCCGACCTTCAAGAAGAAGTAAGCGAGGGGGGCGGGAGGAGGGGAGATGCGGAGATGGCTGGTATGGCTGTGTCTGCCGTGTGCATCGTACATATATCGGTTGGCCCTGTCTGTATGCAGGTTTCACAACCGGTGGTCGGGCAATTGAGGAGGCGTGCAGGCGTCCAGGCTATTGACTGAGACCGTCGCGGCACACGAGGATACAGAGCTGCCTGGAGTGTGTTTTGCAGCGCCAGCTGCTCTGCGGCCCGCCGCCCTCCTATGTGCTGCATGCCCCAACTCTTCCCAATCCGACGCATCAACAAGCAGGCCAGCAAGGCGGACAATTCCATTTTGCAGCCCCGGTGACGACTGTGGCCGTGCACGCGACCGAGAAGACGATGAACCGCCCGCCACCTCTGATGCGTCGACGGCGTTTCGGCAGAATGATAGCTAGATAGGCACTCATGGATATCTTGTGTGCGTGTGAGGTGTGGGTCTCAATGAGCGAGTAAGTGGGTCGTGTGCGTGACACGTGCGGACACCGACACAGACAATATTGCTCATTCATGGGCATGCAAGTCATCTATCATCTGTACGTTCGTTGAATGGATGTATGTATTTGGTCGAATGTAAAAACCAGCCACTTACCCTTATTCAGTCCTGACTCAAAACACGAAATCAGCAACACCAACCAACCCCCTCGGCCCCTATACATGTATGTGCGTGTGGATACGTTGTTGGCTAGCTGGCTGGCTGGCTGCCTCAGTCCTCGCTGTGGGGTGGGGGCGAGGACGGCTTCTATGTGAGCAAGCTGACTAAGTGGGAGGTGGCCTACTGGCAGAGGCAGGGGAACTCGTGGTTGATTAGTTGGGAGGGGCGTGACGAGGAGGATGGGTGCTGTTTTGTAGAGATGGCGAGGGGGGTGGTGAGGGGATCGCGGATGGGTTATGCATATGCATGTGAGGCGGGGCAGCAGGCGGCGGCCTTCATCAAGGGCCTGTTTGCCTAAGTTGTTGGTTGTCGGGGCGGTGGGAGGGGTTTTCCTTGGTAGAGGCGAGAGATAGGTAGATAGCCTCAGCGAACAGGAGGTCGGTCAGAAAGATTTGTCGATCGACAGAAGTCAGTCAGAGCATAAACAGCCAACCAAGAGGCATGAATGCATGTATGCATGCATACGATATGCCCACTTCTCACACACTCACACGCCGGCCAGTCGATCGATCCCCCTTTCATCCATCCAACCCACTCACACCACAACACGACACGATTAGACAAACACAACCATCGGCGCATCATGCATAGACACTAAAGGCAACGCACGTCCACCCCACCACACACACACGCACGCACAAGAGCACACCCGTAGCCAGAGAGTCGGTATGGACACACACACACACGGACACAGTAACCATACAGGCGAGGCGACAGGCGACAGGCGACAGGCAACAGGCGAGGGCGAGGGCGAGGGCGAGGGGAGGTAGGTGTGTGTATACGTATTTGTATTTGTATTTGTATTTGTATTTGTACATGGACATGGACATGTGGACATACATATGGCAAGCGAGCTGTGTGCAGACAGACAGACAGACAGAAACACACACAGCGGAAGGACAGGAGACGACAGACAGTCACCATCCATCCATGCAGTAGGAAAATCGATTGACATAGGTGTGATGTCTGTCTGTCTCTGTGTCCGTACTTCTGTCTGCTTGTTAGGTCACTCCGGCCTTTGCTCACACACGACCAGCCTTTGTAAGGAAAGAGCGCGGCACCGTCAGCCAGTTTACACAACACATTGTCCCCAAAAATGGATCCATCTGTGTGTGTGTGCGTGTTCGTGTGGGTGGGCGGAGGGGGCAGGGCAGAGCAGCACAGCGTGAGAGTGACGGAGTGAGTGAGGCTGACGGCCATCAGTGAGGAAGTGAGCAGTGCATCGTCACGCAGCTGTCTTCTTGCCTTCCCTTCCTTTCTCCCTGATTCACACAACGGATCGGCACGGCACCAGGACGTGATGGATCGGATGATTCCCGGTGCCGATCAGATGCACACGTGAACCAGGGGCGAGAAGGGGCACCGGGCAAGGCAAAGCAAGTCAGCCAGTCAGCCAGTCAGCCAGCCAGCCATGGTCATTCCAACGTCATTTGCTCATGCAGGGTCACCACTTGAGTACACTGAAGCCCAAATGGGCTCACGAAACTGCTTGCAGGGCCCGGTAGGATACTGGTACAAGACGTCTCCCCTTCCCCCTTCCTGATCCACTGTATGTGTATCATGCATGTCACGGCACAAAAAATTCACGGATCCAGGCCGCTGCATGAGGCCTTCCGTCGATCGGGAAAGTGGTGGTGCACTGCAGCACTGCACCGCCCGCTAGATTGCTCAGAAGAGTAGCGGCCTGTGTGAATGGATGGATGGATGGATGGTTGTATGCCTGCCTGCCTGCCTATGCAGAAGCACGTGTTGCATGTATGTGAACACATCACATACCTACATGACCTTCCACGCCATATGTGTATGTATGTGTACATGAGTGAGCTGGAGTGTAGAGTGGCGACTACACACAAGCACGAGACAGAGAAAAGGAGAGAGGGAGAAAGGGAGAGAGGGAGAAAGGGAGAGAGGGGCTCCTGCACGCACGGCTGACCTGCAGGCAGGCAGGCAGGCAGTGTCGAGTTGAGCATCAGATACACAGACATACATACATACATTTACCTGTGTACAAGTAAGTGTAAGTACGTGTGTGCAGGAAGAGTGTGCGCGTGTCGCCTCTCTCTCCCCCACCCCACTCCC